AATTTCAAATTCATCACTAAATTGGGAATTCTATAAAGGAAGAGATTTTTCTGTGTTGTTTGTTTCCTACCCATAGAGGAGGCTGGGACAGAATAGGAGTTCGATGCATATTTGAATAAGTACATTAGTTAGTTTAGTCTTTTCAGATAATTTACACATATTGCATCAAAATTAATTTGGATCTCTAAGTTTCCACGTTTTGAGAAGCATGGGTATGACAATAATAGCTGAGGACTAACAAATCAAGTAGCTAACTGAGCCCTAGATATTAGTTAAGGGATATATGCATTACATACTTTAAAAATTATTAAAAGTTTTATTATATTTAAATAAAACATATTTTACTTTTTCAGAACTTCATTATAAGTTCATTCTGTGCCAAGTTCCAGTCTAATGTAGATAAAAATACATGAGGTATTGGTGTGTTCCTTAAAACTGGGCTTGATTGTGGAAGTGCTGAAAAATCCTTATTACAGATGCCAGTAGAATGAAGTACCTTTACCTCTACCAAATGCTGATGCACAGATTTAAGACTATATGAGAAATCAGTAAAGTTGCCCAGGAGAGTTTTATCATATTATTCATTGAACTTGGTCTGTGATGCAGTAATTGCTTTTGGTACCATTTTTCTTTCCCTTACAAGAGGATATTATTTATCCTTATGCCATGTGAAACAGAGAAAGAGAGTTTAAAGGAGAGTCATAATTTGATGTAAAACTGTCTTTTGACACAGTGTAGTGGGAGATAGGAATCGCAACTGGAAAACTGTATCTTACTTACCAGAATTAAATATAAGAAAAGTAAAACTTGACATTGCAGAGAGCCATAAATAGTAAGAGGAGGCACTCAGACCACATACATTTTTTCTAGTGATAGGTGGAATTGTTTAAAACAACTTTTAATTTCCCAGGGATCAACAAATTTATTTGTCTATGATAGATATTTTCTTTTTTAGCTTACAGATAAAGAATATCAAATGAATAGGTAGGATGACTAGCTGGACAATTTTTATTAATGAGATTTAAATAACATCAAACTTCTGAAATTATTTTGCTGTATTTCCCTCTTTGCATGTAGCCTTCACATACCTCACATGCTCTTAAGTATCATTAGTATTTATAATATTTTTCAATATGATATGTCAAATCACTGTGTGAAAAACATGCCATAAGTATTTGGGAATAAAAATTTTAAATAGAGACAATGATTATTTAATAATAATCAATAATTTTTAAGTAGGAAAAATTGATATACATGTATTACTATATGAATCCAAGGGGCTTAACATGTTCTCTTCACAAGTTCTTAAAGTGCTGTTATGTTTAAAAAGATATGCTGTTACTTAAGAAAGAGATAAATTTTTATGTTGAAAATTGATTTTCTGGATATTTGCTTCTTATTCTTTTCTATAATATTGGCTTCTTTGCATGGCTCAGTCTGTAATACCATTTTACATGTAGTTATCCCAGTGATTAAAAAAAGTAATTAAGTGGTAAAATGTGTGTTCAATTACTTAATGAGACATGCACAGCTTTGTGTGCTCATGAAGTTTGGAAATGATCACTAAAAGTAATTTAATGGGGAATCATATTGTAGGTTGTATCTTGGCCATTGATCTTGGGCAAAAAAGAAAAAATAGTACCTTTCCTTTCATCTTCTTTTTCTGTAAATGGAACTAATAATATTGATATCATTTAATTTTTAGGAAGAATAAATAAAATAAAGCACATAGAACAAGGCCCGACACATAGTTAGATTCTGCTGTTATTTAGTACATGGACCTTAACAAATTGTCAATCTTTGTGCCTTTTAAATTAAAAAAAAATAGAAGCTCATCCTTTTATTTCAAATAATAAACTGGCGAAAATCAGTTTATGAAGTCATTAGAATTAGTCTACTGTACCTGTATGTTTCATTTGATTGCCTTTCGACCAACCCAGAATTCTCAGGCTGTTCCTTTTTTTGAATAGGAATAGGAAGTTTTTCTCAGGTCTTTGAATATGAGTTAGCTACCTAAGGATTTTTTTTTTCATTTTTCTTTTATTATTCATATGTGCATGCAAGGCTTGGTTCATTTCTCCCCCCTGCCCCCACCCCCTCCCTTACCACCCACTCCGCCCCCTCCCCCTCCCCCCCTCAATACCCAGCAGAAACTATTTTGCCCTTATTTCTAATTTTGTTCTAGAGAGAGTATAAGCAATAATAGGAAGGAACAAGGGTTTTTGCTGGTTGAGATAAGGATAGCTACACAGGGCATTGACTCACATTGATTTTGACTCACATTGATTTCCTGTGCGTGGGTGTTACCCTACCTAAGGATTTGTGACCTGTTTTAAAACCACTAGGTTAGGGCACCTGAAATTAGTAGACACACTTATTTGTCTCATAATTTGTTCCTTCAAGTTCAAGTTTCATTGGCTTCCCCAGTTGACCAGAGAATCCATTGCCATTCACTTCACTTTATGGTCATTTTATTTGTAAGCTTCCCATATACAAGGTAATGCAAAGTTAACTAATTGTATTGTCAGAAAAATTTATCAGAAGACACAAATATAAATTAGCCCTTACTATGCAATGTGATAAATGTTAGGGTTAAAGTTTTCCATAGTTCTAGGAGCATGAGAAAAGGAAACATTTGTATATGCCTGGAATGTGAGCACTTTGCACAAATTGCTGTTTGGCCACAGTGCTTCTTTCCCTTCCAAGGCAAGGAGAGCATTTAATCTGTGATCTGCAGAAATGAGTTCTCTAATTTACAAGATTGGGAGGGGAGACAGAGTAGTAAGGTAAATGGGTAGTAGTAATCCCTTTGGTGGAAGGGCACATCTGTCATATTTGCAGTGTACTCTGTCCTATAGGAATAAATTTTATATGTGATCACATGGTAAATAAAAATTAGACTGTATCTTAACTGTCCTTTTACCTTATAATAAACCCAAATATCTAGCATTGAATATAGTTACAGATTAATTTCTGATTCCTTTTTGATTCCATTGAAAATCTAGCCTATTTGTTTCTCTCCCAAATGATCTTGTAGAAAAGTATGTATCATGGAATTTAGAAAATATAGATTCAAACTTCATTGCCTTTTCTTAGCTGTTTTTCAGCACTTCTAATATACTATGTGACTTGAGAAATTTATTTGACCTCTCTTCACATTCAAGTGTAAGATAAACCTAATAAAATGTGGGAGCATATGAAAACGTACTCAACAGCATAGGTTATTAGGGAATTGCAAATTTGAACTACAGTGAGTATCAATACAAAGCATTATAATGACCCAAATCCAGAACAGTGACCACAGTAAATGTTTTTGGGGATATGAAGGAATAACTCTCATTCATTGCTGGTTGGAATACAAAATGTTGCCACTTTGGAAAGCTGATTATTTTAAAAGCTAAGCATCCTCTTACCATGTATTCTATCAGTCATGCTCCTTTGTACTTAGTCAGTTAAACTGAACACTTGCATCCACACAAAACCCAGAACATAGATGTTTATAAGTAGCTTTATCTATAATTGCCAAAACTTGGAAACAACCAAAAATTTCTTTTTTGGGGAATGGATGAATAAACCCAAACACTGTAATATTATTCTGTACTAAAACAAAACAAGCTATGAAGCCATGGAAGTATGTATATAGAGGAAAAAATGCATATTATCAGTGAAACAAACCATTATTAAAAGGATAGGCACTATATGATTCTATCTATATGACATTCTGCAAAAGGCAAAACTCTGGAAATACTAAGGAGATTAATATTTGCTATGAGTTAAGGTAGAAAAAGGGATGAACAGGCAGAGTGCTAGCACAGTCAATTACTCCATGTTCCACTAGCCTCCAATAAGACATGCTAAAGCATGAATTCTCTTTGCACAAATTTCTGTGTGACTTGCTTTGATAGAATCTCATGGATTTTTTTTTTTTTTTGGTCTCATCTTTTCAACTCCCTCACTTAACTGGATGTAACTTTAGTCATACTCATAACTATTGCTTTCTTCCTGGAACTCTCCAATGTCATATTGGTCTTGAGGCTTTTCACTTGCTGTGTCCTTGACCTGAAATGTTCTTTATTTCAGATTTTTATATGGCAAGATTCTGTCTCATCTTTTAGGTTCTACATTATCTCTTGCCTCCTCAGAAAAAAAAGCTTCCAGATATATGACTCAATTTTGTCTTCCCTGCTCTTATTAGGTGCCTTGCAGTTTTTCATTCATGCTGTTGACCTATTTTATGTTTTTGTACTACTTATCTATGCTTGAAGATATACATTCTATTTGTTTAGGCATTTATCATTTGTTTTCTTCTTTATATCACAAATCTTATGGCTCAAGGATTTCTCTTTTGTGTAGAAGAGGGGGATAACTTGCAATAGGTGCTTCACAAACAGGTTGAATTAGTGCATAAGCACTTAATCAATGTTAATTTCTCACTATTTTAATGTAGCTCCTACTTTTTCTCCTAAAATTCAATGTAGTATTTGTAATTTTCATATTTTGGGGCAAATATATTTATATATTAGAACTTTTCACTCCAGTTCTTAGAACATTGTAGGCAATTAGGCTATTAATTCTTTTTCATTCATGTTATCCATAGATCTCACTAAAACAATACACTAAGAATTGATTAAGTGGTATAACTCAAATTAGAGTATTATAATCATGTTGAAATTTTGTATCATGTGAAGCATATGCATATGCATGCTTCACATGTCACATTATATTATTTATTGTGGTATTAGATAGATAACATTTTTATTATTCACTAATGTTGGGATTTTTGCAGTTAAATATTATCCTGTGAAGCACAGATATTCCCTAAACAAATGAATATTTCCTTTCTTAATATTTCAAGCTATATTAAATACAATTAGAAGAAAATTAAGTTGACTCTTAACTGAAATTAATGCAAAAACTTCTATCTTCCAAGAAAAGCCATCATTATTATGGTAAGTTCATAATTAATTGATGTCTCCTTCCTTCATATTCAATGTTTCCAGGAAGAACCTTATGTCCTGTTTAAGAAGTCTGACAAACCTCTCTATGGGAATGATCGATTTGAGGGCTATTGTATTGATCTCCTCAGAGAGTTATCTACAATCCTTGGCTTTACTTATGAAATCAGGCTTGTGGAGGATGGGAAATATGGAGCCCAGGATGATGCCAATGGACAGTGGAATGGAATGGTTCGTGAACTAATTGATCATGTAAGTCCCTGTTTTCATTATTTTTATCTGTAGTAGATTGTTAAAAGGTTGACTTCTTTCTAAATGGTTATAGATAAGTAACTGCAAAGAACAGTGATATATTTCAATTATGTATTTTCTTCAATAGTTTTATTCAAGGTAAATGTTATTTTTGTGACTAAATATAAAGAATCTAAGAAGAGAATATAAAGGATATTATTCTACTAGACAAGAATTTCTGTCTTAAATTCATTTATACTTGGAGGCTTAATATCTTGAGATAGTGGCCTTAATTGGGATTTTATTTTATAATAATGAATGTCTTCTTGATTTTTACAATGTTAACTTTCTAATAAGCAGAGAGAATGAGTGATGCACACTAAATTTCATGGCACAAATTTCCTATGTTAGGATAGGATAATTACAAACAATTGTCTACTTATAGATAATTACATCTATATGAAAAAAACATAGAATTAGATGGTGTTTAAAGTAAAACAAGAATATAAAGAATATTGAACCAGGATGATAGAATACACCATTTTTAATTGAAAAAAGTCAGGTGTTCATTATTGGCCAGAAAAGTATTATTTCAGAACTTCTTAGTTGATGGTGTCAATTTATTTACCACTTTAAAATAAATTCTTAAATACTTTTTTTCTGAGGTACTGGGGTTTGAACTCAGAGCCTCACACTTGCTAGATTGGTGCTCTACCACTTGAGCCACTCCATCAGTCCCTGAAATAAATTCTTTTTTTTTTATATATTATTTATATTTATTTATATCTATATATGTATTTGGTGGCACTGGGGTTTGAACTCAGGGCCTCATGTTGAAATAAATTCTTATTACTGAGTAGTACTGTATTTCATTTTGTGTTTTGTGAAATTTATTTTGAAAATTTCAATATTAGGATAAAATTATTACTAAGATAAAATTTCACAGAATAATAAAACTAAGTTTTCCTCAAAATTATTGTGAACTGTAACCTAAATAAAAATTCTCCCCAATGGAAGTACAAATTGTAAACAATTTGCACAGTATTTGAAAATACTTTATTGCTATTAAGTCATTACTGACCAGAAGGAAATAGGTAGTTCTTTGTTTATCAAACAGAATGAGATAGGAAGACAGAATGATGGAGAGAAAAGGGGAGTTAAATTTTGGTTAGAGGGGGAATAACAACACAAACTATTGTTTTTAGAGCTCCTTTTTCTTCAAATCATTGCATATTTCTTTTAATGATTTGAAACTTATCCTAAATCCTGGACTTAATCATTTGTTTCTTAGAATTTGTTTAAGCAGAACATTTACATTTCAGCTTTGTAAAATTCATTAAGAGGTCATAAAAATATTGGACTATTTGTATGACTTGAAACAACATATAAATCCTTGAACTTTACATTAGTTGCTATTAAATTTGCAATGATTATTAGAAACTTTCTGAGGCTTGTTAAGGAAAAAATGAGGATTGCTTTTCATACAAAAGATAGTCAGGTAGCAGTTAAGTCCAGAGGTATCCAGTGGCCATGGGCATGGTTCAATCCAAGGTATCAGGTTTTAGACTCTTGGACTTCTCATAATTTACCCTTTGCTTTCCTGCATTTGTTCTACCCATAGGCATTTATGATTCTCAAAAAGGTGTCAAGAAGAGTTGCCACCAGCAGTTCTAACTTAACTATTCAGGCAAAAATATAACACCTTTACCCAAGTAATTTCACATAAGAGTCTAAATTGGTTTCATTGGCCTTACCAAGTTCATGAACTGAATGCCAAACAAATTATCCAGTCCAGAGGAATGTGTTCTCATTGGATAGTCGAGCAAGAACCTGAGATGTGATATGTGTTAGTAAAGTTACACAAACTTTTGAGTTAAAAAAAACTAACTTTTCAAAAGGAAATCAAGGCATTTATTCCTGAATAAAGTGGAGTGAAATGTGCACAAAGATAATATCTATTGACTGTAGAATTCTGAATAAGTAGTCTATGTGAGAATTTTATATTTAGTCAGAACATAGAAATTTTTTTGTCACAAATGTCTTTATATATGCATTTGCCACATGTACCTAATTAATGCTCATTTAATTGGGCTTTTGGGGATTTAAACTTGGTTAAAATTTTCAGTTTTCTAGAATTTGATACTTTCTTTTAAATTGGGATAGATTCATTGTACTGGGGGATTCATTGTGACAATTCCAAATAGGCTTATTTTGTACATTGTTTAGTTTACTGTCACCATTTCCCCTTGACCCCCTCTCTGCCCTACTTAAAGCTATTGCAAGAGGTTTCTTTGTTTGATTTCATATACTTCATAAGTATATGAAGTCCATCAACCATTTTCCCTCAGCTTAATCTCCTTCATTCACCCTTCCCCCTCCCGCAAGTACCCCCCCCCATATACTGTACCTATTTTACTGTCTTGGATTTCGTTATTGATATTTAAGTGGATGATCAAAGGGGTTTCTCAATGTATCCCTGCTGTGAGTATACTTTACTTTGGTCTGCTAAACCCTTTCCATTGCTCTCCCTTACTCTTTTACCTCTCATCCCACATTTTTCAATAGCTTTCAATACATTTCATTTCCTATCTATGTATATTTTTTGAGGAAAGTATAGCATAGAAAATTATGGTTGTGAAATAATGATTTAGAACCATTTATGGTGGCATAACAAAGGAAGAAATAGTGGGCTGGGGAAATAGCTCAGTTGTAGAGCACTTGCCTAGCTTGCTCAAGAGCCTGGGTTTGATACCTTGCACTGGAAATAAAAAGGAATAACAAGCTGGCATTAAAGTTTGATAATTATTTCTCAAAAACAACTTCTGATATGGAGTTGAAATCACTTTATATGACTTTCAAGTTATTTATTCATTTTATTCTTCTTGATGACATACCTGTTAGTTTGCCTTGTATTTTTCCTTATGAGAAATCCAGTCCTACTGCTATGTATACTTTTTTGGTGACTTCTTCATGTCTCAGTTGCCTTTTTCAACCTTGGTTCTTAATGTTTAATGTGTTTCATATTAAACTAGAGTGCTGATTATAGTCAATATATTTTTCTTTGCATAACCACATCAGAGTTTGCACATTCATGAATGTGCGAATTTAATGCAACTTAGTAACCCATACTGATCAACATCCTGGTCTTGCCTTACTTTCCTTGACAATGTTATGTTCCCATGGCTTGATTACCATTCCCATGCTAATGTCAACATTCTACATCTTTAGCTCTGAACTTCAGACACATACATCTAACTGCCTCTATTTTCACCAGAAATGTGTCCCAAGTACTAAAAAGCCGCATATCCCAAGTACTGTCAAACATATATCTTTCCCAAATCTTTTCCTTCTGAAGAATTCTCTCTACCAATAATTCAATAGGTGTTCCAGCCAAAACTTAGTAGTAATTTTAAAATTATTTCTCATTGTACCATGGCTTTTTTAGTGTGCTTCATAATAACTCTGAAAACTGCCTAATTCTGCCCATCTCACTGTCACCTGGAGTAATATTTCAATATGATATTTTCCTTCTAATCCATTATCTATATAATGTGCATTTAGCTTGCAGCTCCAGAAGGAGAAATCTGATCATGTGCTACCCTTGCCTAAAGTGTTTCAGGAGTTTCCAATGTCTTAACAATACAAGGATAATTATAATGTGTTTATAACCGCTTCCACATTCTGAATTTCTTATGAATATCTCTGTTTTGCCACTCCCAATGTACTCTCACATCTTTTTCCACCCAGGCTGTTTTGCAGGGACTGAATGAACAGGGGTCCCCAGCTGCAGATCCAAGGGAGGGAGGAAAGTGGGGACAGGTCTTTATTTCTTCCTCTCTTCCTGAAGTTTCCTCAAGTTGGCTGTGATCCTATATTGAATGCGACAGTTCCGAGTAATGATGCTTGCTCTGCACAACTCTCTCTCCTCTTCTATGTTTTGATCTGTTCTTTGCATTACAGTGTTACATTTCTGCTGTGACTAGCCTCTGATTCCTGCACCATCCCTTAAAATTTTTCTATACCAGTGGCTTCCTCAGAACTGCAGACTAGGCATCACTTACATATTTGTTACAAATTTTCAGTCCCTAGTCTCAGATTTATTGAATCTGAGTAGTCTGGAGTGGGGCCCAGAAATCTTTTTTAAATAAGTCCAATTTGTGGTTATTATACTCCTGATATACAATGATGTATGATAATCAATTCCCAACCCATTCCTTTATCATTTCATATATTGTTACTCCCATTGTAAGTAAATTGTGCACAGATATTTTCACTTGAGTGTGCTTTCTGTGTACTCTCCAGTGCCTCACTGATTTATCGTTCTGGGTTTTCATTTCTTTTGAAATCCACATCCTTGTGGAATTCTGTTTCTCTCATCTTTAACACAGGCTAGTTTTTATCTGTTTTAGTCTCCTTATCCCTCACTCACTCATCTTATCTGAATTTTTCCACTTAGCTTTGGAAACACTTATTCAGCAACATTGATATTCTCCCAAAAGTCCCACTTGCTAAGTTTCCTTTCTTTTTTCTTTTTAAAAACATTTATTAGAGTATGTGAATTGTTCAGAGTCTTACTTAAACTTTGATCAAATTCACCCCCTCTATTGGTCTTCTTTCCCATCCCTTTATTTTACAGTTTTTATTGGATTTCATTATGCTCTTTTCATTCAGGCAAATAGTATACTTTGATCATATTCACTCCCCTTTTCTTTTTTCCTTTCCCAATCTCTGATTCCCTCCCCAAAAGTCCCCCTTTTATGCTTTTCTTGCATGACGTCTCTCACTCCTTATTTTAGTTGCCAACTTAATAGCTTTCCTACTTATTTGCAAGTAAGTTTTAAGATAGTTATGATATCATCAGGATATTGATTTTAGTTGCAAATGTCAGAAACATGGCTCAAAATACTCAATTAAGCATATGCATACCATATACACATATAATTAATATCGAAGACCTGCATTTCAAAAAAAATAGTTCATTAGTGATTTTCACTTCAATATCTTACAGTATCTTAAAGTTT